TGGTGTGTGTAACTATACAAGAAGTCTGGACAAAGATTCAAGTTTGTTTAGAAAGCCATGTAATGTTACGGGAACTACATTAAACAGTAATTTGATCTGTCAAAAGTAACAGTGCCCACAAATACATAAAAGAAGTGCGTACTGAATCACTCGCCTAAATGTTTTACTTTGTTAGTGCAGAGCTTGAAAAGTTTATCAGGCATCTAAAGAGCTATGAGACAAACATATCAGCCAGACACCAACATAACCAACAATGGGAGGGGGGACCCCCAACTGTGAGATCCAAACACACACACACACACACACACACCCCCCACATTAGTGGGGAATTGAACTGGGAGTTCTAGCCGGCTAGTGTCCATGGATCCTGTTCAACTGCAAGGCCTCTGCTTAGCAAGGGAATAGATTATTTTTGAAGTTCCACAAACATCCAACACCCCAGGCTGTAAGGAGCTCCCTCAGATACTGTCAGGGTGAAAGAATGATTGTGTTAATTTCAGCTCCCCAACTTCCATTCTTTGTTTTGGTTCTTATTTCCAAGAGACCCAGTTCCAACCCCAAGGCCACTCCTAACTTTCCCATGCTGCAGTCAAGCTGAACAGATCCTTTAAGGGCTTGTCTACAATTGGAAATCTACTGAAATAGCTATACCAGAATAGTTATTTTGGTATAAGCTCTGGTGTTAAGACTCTTGTTCCAGAGTAAGAGTACTTTTTCCTGGTTTAGCTTAATCCACTTCTAGAATAAAGATCTGCATATGGGGTTTATTCCGAAGTAACTATTTCATAATAGCTGTTTTGGTCAATTTACAAAAGTGGACAAAACCTTAGTTTCCTCTATTGCACACACAGTTTTGAATAGTAGCAGTTTAACTAACAAGCATTACACTTCCCACTAGGGTGACCAGACAGCAAGTGTGAAAAATCAGGACGGGGGCGGAGTGTAAAAGGTGCCTATATAAGACAAAGCCCGAAATATCAGGACTATCCCTATAAAATCGGGACATCTGGTCACCCTACTTCACACATGAATTTACGTGATTTTTTTCTAGCCCACTGTTAATGGCTATTGTTGGCTCTCAGTTACAGAGTTTAAATAAACAAATCCCCAAATGGTAGGCCATATTTTGGCAGGTAACTTATGAATACTGAAAACTGCAGTTTTTAAACCGAAATAGCCAGTTTTGAAAAAATTAAGTATAAAACATGAAAAAAGTATATTAGTAATCTGATTTAGTTTAAATGAAGGCTCACGGCTCTCATGATATGAGAAGAAAAAAATTCTCATTCCACCACAGAAACAGTGAATAGTTTCTTAAGATGAACATTTTCTCTCTTGACACAGCCTTCACTATTTGATGCCTTATTAAAAAACAACACAAAACACACTCATTTGCCCCAAAAGAACCAAGTTTGCTGCATCTGGATTCTGTTAACCCTCTTTCAGAGTATTAACCATTTACACAGCTTAAGTAGTTTTCACAGGGCTGCGGAACCATACTGGTTTTGGTCATGAACTTTGACAGGACCTACTATAAAAGCACTTAATGTCACGTTTCTGTGAGTGTCATAGCTAGTATAGTTACTTGTAACTGCCAAAATTACCATCACTAAAAGAATTTAGCAAAAAAATATTTGATTTTTTTCCCCTCCAGTTCAGGGGGTTGTTTTGTTTTCTGTACATTTAACAGCACTAGGTACATATCAAGTGTCACTGTTTCATATGTAGAGTTAGTTTCACTGTAGCATAAAGAACGCTTAAACAGATGATCAGAAAAAGATTTTTTAAATATATTTTTAAATTTCATGATCTACTATTTAAAGAGTATCATTAAAACCTGGAAATTTTTAAAATTACTCAATTCCAGGTTGACAGCATCTCTTTAAAATCTACATTGATTAATAGACATCCACAGGTATTCTGTTTGGATAAATGCTGGACTGGCTGACAACATACTTCTGGACATAAACTGACCATCAACTTGGGTGAGAATCCCCACATAGAAAAATAGTGTTCAGGTCACTAAATACATTATGAAGACTGGTAGTGGGGCAGGAAGCCCATGCTAGTCTTCCTTTAGAGAGAGAGAGCATGGACATATGATCTAGAGGTTTATTTCTATATAGCAAGCCTATTTTTCAAAAGATGAACACGTTCTTCTGTCACTTCCTTCCAGAGATTACAAATATTGGACTTCTCATACAAAAACAGGCACAACAGAATGAGACTCATGGTCACATTCTTTACATTCCATCACTTGCTTTTATTTTTCCATTTATGTCACCATCACTAACCCAAATCATATCCTACTATGTCCTACTGCAGATACAAGACCTAACATATCTGTTGTTGGTACCTAAAAACCCAGCATATTTGGGTAACCGACTCTGAACTTTACCCAAAGAATAATACAATCCCAATTAGACAATTCCTTTGACCACATGCTTACAGATGAAAATTGCAAAATAGTGCTAATGTTTTTGCCCATAGGTTATCTAAAAAGAACTTAGTTTGTGCTTTATTGTAACCCTAAAAATATGTGCAATATTGACTTTAGATTCTTACATGCAATTTCACAACTTGCACATTTTTTTTTTTATTTAAAAATGTTTTAAGTGCTGCTGCTATGGCTACTATTTGAGTGATAATTTCTTATGAGATCATGATTTATATAATCAACAGCAAAATCTCAGATTGGGTACCAAACACAAAGCAAGACGTGACTGAGAAAAGAGGAGCATTAGTATAGTAAGGCATGGATTCACAGGATGCAGCAGTACTCGAGCTAAGAAACAATACCATGCAATAGGAAGAATTAAAATCTATAAGCATGGAAGGAGAGGCATCATAAACAAAGCTCAGATCAGAATTCCTCAGATAGATAATACAAAGAACCAGAAGAAACAACGCATTTTAACAGGACTACTCAAAAGTCTGTTTTGTTTTGTTTTTTAAAACAAAACCTTTTCTTTCAAATAAAACAAAGAAAATGCACCAAAAATGGGCATATAAAATCAGCTTTGAGAGGAAGCCTGAACAATAATTTTAAAAAATAAATAAAAAGTAGAATGAGTTAATGCTAGCCAGACTGGTTACAGGGAATAAGAAGTGTTTAAAAATATACCTGAGAGAAGATTTGTATTAGCAACTAGATTACTAATAAGCTAGAGAAAATAAATGATAATTAAAAAAAAAACACTAAGAAAAATAAAGAGATGGACAATAAGAAAAATTGACCTCACAAAAATAACTGATTATAAAAACAGCTCAGGCAAGAACTGCAGGCCCTGCACCACCTGGCACACAACTTCATTCCCATTAAATGAAGCATCTCAGATCTTGACTGAGATAAAGAGAATGGGTCAGAAAGATGGGCTACCACAGAGGAGAGCTGAGTGAATAAATACCAACAATCTCAAGTGGGAATGAGATACCTGTGAAGTTGATAATAAAAGAGAGTATCTAATTTTTCAGATTGGCAGACCTTTAACAAAAATCGCTATTTTAAAAGTGCAGGTAAGTGAATTAAATGAAAATCACCTTAGCAGGTACACACACTAGAATACCTGGACTTTGAAGACCACTCAGAAGCTTCAGCGAATGTTCAGTTTTGCCACCAAACTGATTAGAGTAAGCTACCAAGAGTATAGAAACACCTGTGCTTTACATACTGTATTCGATACCAATTCTTTTGTGGATTAAATTCAAGGTACTCGTTACTTGACAAAACCTTAAACTGAATAAAATCCAGTTATCTCAGTAGCCAGCTATCACCTATGCACCAGTATGTCATCTGTTTTTATGAAAATGCTTTGTCTGGTCCAAAGATGATGTGCACCGAAGGGCAGCATTCTAAACAGCAGGCCCTCGCCTCTGAAATTAGGTCCTATTGGATACATGTCCAAGTCCACACCTGGTTACCTTTACTGCCCAGTATGAGATCTGTCTCTTTGTCTAAGCTTTCCCAACCAGGTTCTGGAACTTCTTGGCACTGAGCCTACGGCTAGGTTTTCTTTGTCCTTTACGGTTAGCTAGATTGGTGTTACTAGTAAAGGAAGGAAGGTGGAATATAATCTATTTATTCTAAATAAACATTTAAATTTAAAGTGCACCCAGATGCCATGGTGATGGGCACCTTAAACACTTTCAGTGGAAAAGAACACCTGGAAACCCATCATGGGAAAATATACCTAATGAGAACAGACTGTACAACTGGGTATGAATTGGAAGAGTGACACGGTAGAAAAACAAACAATAAAAGCCATCACTATTTTAGGTTGCACAGAGACCCAAAGTCACCATTATTAAGCAAAAGATGAGCTGCCTAATAAAAGTACAACTAGATACTATGCTTGAAAGAATGCTGACTATTAGAGCTCATGGAAGAGCAATAAAAGTTATTAGATAGTTAATGAAAAACTAAATAAAAACAGCTTAACTAATTAACACCAATTTTGGGAAATATGACAGATTACCACCCTGAAGGATGCAAAAAGAACAAGAAAGGTAGATTTAGGGAAGAACACAGATCTAAAACTAGCAGCGCTTATGTTAAGAATATCTGCACTTTGGAAAGACTTCCTAATAAGGAATGTACCCAGGTTGCAGAAGTCCCATCCCCGGAGACGTTTAAAGCTAAGCTGCACAAGAGGCTCACAACAACCCTGTACTAGTCTCTGCAAACATGGGCTACTGTAGACGGTGCCATCTGCCCGTCCGCGTCCCCACCCCAGTACGCGTTATTGGGGTATGGCGATATCGTCGCTGTACGAAGGAGTAACGCCCAAGGCGGGCTCTGGGCACATGCTGGAGGAGGAAGGGATTGGGATCTGGCTGCTCTCACCCACCCACCTCCCGCAGCAGGGCAGAGGGTACACGCTGCGCTGGTACCTAACATGTGGCCAGGCACCGGGAGCGCCGCAGCGGCTGCGGGGGCAGCACTGACGGCGTAGCGGGACCTGCTGGCCGCGGCGGTCCGGGGAGCGCAGCGGGGCGGGTACCTCATGCTGTAGGCGCTGGCTCCCAGCTCCTGCCCGATGCCGGAGAGGCTGGCATCGAAATCGTGCGCCAGCCCGGACTCGATCACTTCATCCATCTTCAGCACCCACGCCATCTTCCGCCGCTCGGCGCGGCCGGAGGGGAGGAGCAGCTCAGCCCCGCCGCCGCCGCTACTCCTGTGGGAGGCGGTGACTCGGCGGGGGCGGGTAGGGCCCGGGGGAGGCGCCGAGAGCCCGGGAGAGGAAGGGGAGAGTCCGCGTTCAGCCCCGGGGGGGCCCTTTCCCCGCAGCAGCAGCAGCACCAGGGCGCGGGGCCGCTCTCAGCATCCTGCGCTCGCCCAGCCGCCGCGTGGGGCCCGGGACCCGGCGGCCTCGGCCCGGACACAGCAAGGGGCCGCCGCCGGCCGAGCTCCGACCCAGCCCAGCGGCGGGTGCCGCATCGTTCACGGGAGAAGCGGCAACAGCACCACCCCCTGCCTGGGGACCCGCCGCCGGCTACAGCCCGGGCGGGAACCCGCCGCCGGCGACAACAGCCCGGGCCGCCAGCGCCGCTTCCTTCCCGGTACCGCTACGGCTGTCCCCGTCTCCCCAGCCGGGCTCCGAGCACCCCGCTGAGAGACGCGGCGCCGCTCCTTGTCAGGCGCTCCGGGGACTGGGCTCTTCTGGGGTCTCCGCTCCAGCGCGGCTACAGAACCTGTACTAACATGGCGGGCGGCTATTTCCCCTTCCCCGTTCAGGTCCCCTACCGGGGCGGGACTTAGCCACAGCGAGAGGGAAGGTTGGCTGGAGCTTGTTGGCGGGCAGCAGGACTGTCCAATCAGAACCTCGAAGGGAGGCAAAGTAGACGGTAGCCAATCAAAAGGCAGTGCCCCAGGCCCCGCGACGTCGATTGCGAGCGACTCCGGGAGAAGTGACTATAAAGCCCAGCATGCATTGCGGGGCCTGCTCGCGATAAGCCTTTGGTGCATGCTGGGAACTGTTGTCGCCCTGGTAGCCAGTATTACAGCCCGCCCTCATTGGCGGCGCATCTGCACGGACAGCGCTTGCGTTAACCCTGCCCTGGCTACTGGTTGGAGCCTAAGACTGACAGCTATAGGAACCAATCCATGCTGGAAAAGGAGGTGGGGGCTCTGTCACTCTCCGGGAAAAGGAAATGGGCGGCAGTAGAGTGGCAGGCAAAGCAATGAGCAGGGCAGCCTGGGCACGTCACTGCCTGGGGCGGGGCCTGGCTCTAAGAGCGCCTGTGGGCTGCAGCAGGGGCGGAGAGCATCCAGTGCAGTGCACCGGTGAGGCAGCGTGCTGGGCCCCCCCCAGCAGGGCAGCGCTGTGCCTCGGGGAGGGCCGTGCTGCCCCCTTAGCTCCCCGAGGCTGACCCCATAGCAAGTGTGGGAAATCGGGATGATGTAATAGGCACCGATGTAAAACAAAACCGTCTCTGTAAAACCAAGACATCTAGGCCCCTCCCTCCCTCCCCAAACTAGGTACCTGCTCTTGAATTAAAAGTGTAACCAGTCATTTTAAAAAAGGAAGAAAATTAACAAACAATGGGAAACAAATGCGTATTTAGAGCTAGATCAACCCCCTGACAGACTACGGCTGAGGTCTTACTATTTAAAAAAATATTTTATCTAGACTATTTTAGTAAGAAACTACTTCTAAAGCCAATAAATATATAAGCTGTAAAAAGAAGCTGAACTGAGAGCAGGATTGTGGAGAGTTTTGGCATATTGGGCTGGGTTTAAGGAATGACTTCTGAAAATGGTAAGGGTAGAGAAATGTGGCAAAAGAGGTAGGAATGATATTAAAGAATCACAGTATGCTAAAGTCATGGGGCCTTACACAGATACCAGATTCAGAATCCTTGAAGAGACTAGAAATAAGAAAGTAAAAGTAAATTTTTAATCAAGGGACGGAGGTTGTGATGGCTTGGGATACAATATTCACCTTCCAGATATCTCTGTAAATGTGTGTTCTTAGTCTAGAAAGAAAAAAAAATATAATGGAACTTGCACACATTACTCCAAAACACAAGCCACTGCTGCTAATTCAGTATATTGGGCCTAATGTGGGGTGCATGAATATACCTTCTCCCAAGGCTCTCCTTTTCTCTCAGGTGGAACTGCATAGATCCCAAACCCAATATAAGGTTTCCCTTGATTGTAATAACTAGAGCTATCTACAAAGAAATGGTACCTTTTGAAGAAATCTTTCTACTGAACCAACGGTAGAAAAAGCTTCCTTTTCGCCTTCCCCCTTACACTCAATTGGTCAGTATCTGGACACACATGTGGCTCCCCTGGGAGCCACACAGATATGGTGTTCTAACAGGTTTCACTGCAATATCCTTTCCTTGCAGCAGGAAGGCCCAGTGGGCTAGGTCGGCATTTGGGACTTGCCCATCCTTTACCTGATTGGATAGTAAGAACTGAAGGGAAGTGTGCGATGACTGTTATATGATTGGGCTGAGGCCACTCAGGAAAAAAATGTTGGATGACCCAATTAGTGACCAGTGAGTAACTTTTCACAATTGTCATATGGAGCTCTACTGATGACATTAAAAGTGCAACTGCAACAGGGCAATGGGAGCATGTCACCTGCTTTGCCCTCACAAGTCCATCCTGCGCCCCGGCTCTGGAGTTGAATGCTGGGCTCTCACTCCAGCAGGGGGGCGTGGGGCAGGCAGGACTGTGAGGCAGAGTGCGCGCGGCCCTCACGCCAAAGCAGGGTTGGGAGGGTAGAAAGCTGGGGCGCAGCGAGGTGGGTTAAAGCAGTTTAGCCTCCCCTCCATGCGAGAGCCCGCAGAGCTGCCAGCTGCGGCGTCCCTCCCTTCTCTCCCCAGGGAGCAGCAGAGCCTCCTGTGCCTGCAAATCCTGCAGCCCGCCCGCTCTCCGAGCATGCCATGCAAGCCGGTCCTGGCAGCACCGCACTGACAGCACAGCTCAGCCCCAGCAGGGGTCTTACACTTCCCACCGCAAGCTGCTCCACTCTCCTTCTGGCTGCTGTGCAATCTACAAGACAAAGGAGCTATTACTGTGTAAATGTACCTATCTGTATCCATTCACAATCAAAGGACTTCGCTGGCTTTCTAAATGGCCGGAGAGCAATTCATTGGGAGTGTGGTTCTTATCATATACGTCCTCCCTCCCTACAGTCTGTGATCTGCAGCTAGCGTCTTGATTGGCGGCGGTGCCCCCAAATCTTGGCGCCCTAGGCGGCTGCCTAGTTTGCCTAGTGGTTGCACCGGCCCTGGCTATCACCCTTCCCCTGACTATATATGAGGTAGCGCCATCCTGACCCCCCTCAGTTCCTTTGCAACAAAAGCCCCTGAGAGGAGACTCCAATGCAGAGAGAACAGAGTGTGTGTCGTGGAATACACATTTGCATCACATCTCAAAGAGCCACAGTTACAGTAAGTAATCGTTTCTTCTTCGAGTAGATGCAGACATGTAGTCCACTTAAGTGACTCGCGAGCATACCCCAGTCTGGAGGCAGGGCTTGGAGTCTACTGCAATAGGGATCACAGGACCACCCTTCCGAGGTCTTGTCTGCTCTGGAAGATGCGGTAATAGCATAATGATCTGTAAATGTATGTATAGATGGATGACCACATGGCCGCCCTGCATATGTCCAATATGGAAATGTCACTGAGGAATGCTGTTGATGTTGCTTGTGCCCTTGTGGAGAGAGCCTGTATCTACCAAGGAGGTGTAGCCAAAGCTATCTCATACCCAGCCTTGATACAGGATATTATCCATCTAGAGATGGTCTGGGCAGAGCCCACTTAGCCCCTTCATGCGGTCCGCATAAGACACGAACATGAACTGTGGGTGTGATCACAGCATTGTCTTATCCTTGGAGAACTGAGGGTAAGGCGGCTCAGCCATTAGGGTCTGCAACTCTCATAGCCATCACATCAGCAAGAAGGGTATCAAGAACATAGTTTTCTGAGACAGGAGTGGCAGTGGGTAGGATGCAAGGGGCTCTAATGGAGGGCCCATCAGAGCTGCAAGAACTGCGTGTAGGTCCCATAAGGGAACCAGTTTTTTCGACCAGAGGGTGTAAGCGGAGAAGCCCTTTCAGAAATCTCATCACCATGGCATCGGAAAAAACTGACTTCCCTTGTATCAGGGGATGGTACACGGATATTGCTGCCAAATGCACCCTCAATGAGCACAAGGCCTGATTTCTGAAGATGTTACAAGATGTCCTGGATGGAAGCTTCTGTCGGTTGGGTCCCGTGGGCCAAAAACTTCTTCCATTTTGCTAACTAGGCCATGCTAGTGGAGGACTTCCTACTGTTGAGTAGGACTTTTAGGACAGCCTCTGAGCACTGCTCTTCCTCTTCATTTATCCATGCAGCAGCCATGCTGTAAGGTGCAGAGAGCTGATCGCAGGATGGAGGGTGCAGCTGTGGTTCTGAGTGAGCAGATCAGGATGGAGAGGAAGCGATATGGGAGGCTAAATTGACAGAGGAAGGAGATCTGAGAACCAGCACTGTCTTGGCCATACTGGAGCAATGAAGATGAGCTTGACCCAATCTGCTTTGAGCTTGAGGACGACCTCAGGAATGACTGGAAGAAGTGGAAAGGCATACAAAAGATTCAACCAACCAACCAGCTGCAGTGAAAGGCATCAGAGAGGGAACCCCAGCTGAGGCCCTCTTGAGAGCAGAATAGTTGACGCTTCCTGTTTTCCCTCGTCACAAACAGATTGATCGTGGGGCTGCCCCATGTTGCAAAGATGACCTGGAGAACACTCTCCTTCACTCGTGGCACAGGGAGAAAACCCTGCTGAGATGGTCCATGAGATGATTTTGCACCCCTGGCAAATGGATTGCTATTGGGATGATTCTTCTTTGATGCAAAATTTCAACAGGTTGATCACTTCCAGGCAAAGTAACCTGGAATGCACCCCCTCTTGCTTCTTCACATAGTACATCACAGTGGTATTGTCAGTGAGTATGTGAACCACTGTGTGTTTGATGCGGTCCTGGAAGGCACGACATGCATTGTGGATGGCCCGAAGTTCCAGCATGTTGATATGGAGTGAGGCTTCCAACCACAGGCCCTGCACCCTCCATCAGTCCAGATGCGCCTGCTAACCCAGAAGGGAAGCATCAGTAACCACTGACTTAGTCAGAGAGGGCAGAGCGAAGGGGACTCCTTGGCACACATTCCATGGGGACTCCCACCAGCACAAGGAATTTAGGACTGGTTGAGGAAGGTGAATCAATCTGTCCAGGTAATGCAGGGCAGGGCAGTAAACCATCCTGAGCCACATCTCAAGAAGGCGCAGGCGCAACCTAGTGAACTTGACCACTTGCTTGCAAGTGGACATGTGGCTCCACAGGCTCAGACAAACACTGACTGAGAGGGGGACCCTGTGCAAGTGCACTGAGTGCACATTGGTTAACTGGGGACTGACTCTGCAGCTACAATGGGGGGATGGAGTAGAGAGTTTAAGCTCAGTATGTAAATAGCCATAATTTAGAAGTGACTAAGTGTTTCAATGAAAACTGGATTTGATTTAACCAAATTACAAAACTTAGGAAATCATATACTGTGCACATGTAGCACATTTTGTGTGCATTTTCCTAGTAAGATTTCAATCCTACTATCTAATTCTTATACTGAGACAGAGTCCCACTAAATTAGTGACACAGGAGGGGTCTGAATTAAATCATATTGCAGGATTGGGTTCTAAACTCAAAGTACTC